AAAAAAAAAAAAAAAAAAAAAAAAAGCAACCAAAGACCAAAAGTTGATTATTTTAACAGAAATAATAGACAGCAATGAGCCGACTATTCTTTACTAATTTGTTTCATTTGTTGGATCAACGACCTTGATTTGTTTAGTCAAAAAACAAGAGTACAAAAGAATCTGTCAACAAACAAGACAGAGTAATCAAAGACCAGAGCTTGAAATATTTTAAAAGAAATGATAAGAATAAAAATTACTACAGAAACAAAGCCCATGTTATAAAGTCAAGCAGAAATCAGAAAGCGAATCTGGAATCCCATCAACAATGGCAGAAGTAGCAAAGAAGTACTACCTGCTGCTTCCATGATGTTTTTAAGCTTCACTTCTATCAGGCTCCTTGGCCACCACAACCCATATTTCATTAAATTTTAATACCATTTTTCCTTTTCTCTTTTCTTTTTATTTCAGGTATGCAGTTGTTACAGGTTCAAATCAGGGGATTGGATTTGGAACAGTTAGGAAGTTGGCTTCAAATGGGATCATGGTGGTGTTAACTGCTTTAGATGACAAAATGGGTGTTGAAGCTATTGAAAAATCGAAAGAGTGTGGCCTCTCTGACCTGGTGGTTTTTCATCAACTTGATGTAACAAACACTGCTAGCATTGCTTCCCTTGCAGATTTTGTCAAAACCCAATTTGGGAAACTAGATATCTTGGTATGATAAGAAACCATATATGATCAACTTCTCTATCTCTCTGTTCATGCTCATGTTTAAAAAAATTCATATAACTATGAAAAGTACATTGACTTTCCGCTATAACTTAATCTATAGGTAAATAATGCAGGGGTTAGTGGAACCATTACAGACCCTGAAGCTATGAGAGCTGCTGCAGCTGCAGGTATTATTGGTAAGGTAAGTTTTCCTTCAGCATCTTAAATAGTCCAAATTATATGTGGATTTGATTAAAACTTTTCATATATAAATTTCAAATACAAATCTTTAATTTCAAAAATGGACTAGTTAAATGCAATCTTTCTTTTCTTTGATGCAGGATGGTGTAGGAGTAAATTGGAGTGAAATAATGACTCAAACGTATGAGTTAGCTGAAGTATGTGTGAAAACAAACTACTATGGTGCCAAGAAAATGACCAAAGCACTCCTTCCTCTCCTCCAGCTATCTGATTCACCAAGAGTTGTCAGTCTTTCTTCCAGCATGGGATCGTTAAAGGTAAGAAGAGTTTTCATATTTTTGGCATCTCGTCAGGTTGTTGTTTCAATTTTCACCACTTGAGCCCTTTGTTTCTTTGTTGTATTTGAGTCCTATTTGTAGTTATGGGCTAACAAGAAGTTTCTGTCTTCAAATCAAAATGTTTTTCATATGCATGTTTGTTTCAGCATATACCAAATGAATGGGCCAAAGGGATGTTAAGTGATGCTGAGAAACTTACAGAAGAGAGAATAGATGTTGTTTTGAATGAGTTTCTCAAAGACTTCAAAGAAGATATTCTGGAAACCAACGGCTGGCCTACTTCCATCTCTGCCTATATACTCTCGAAAGCAGCCGTGAACGCGTTCACTAGAATGATGGCCAAGAAATACCCAAACATCTGCATCAATAGTGTAGACCCTGGATTTGTCAAAACAGATATCAACTTCAATACTGGCATGTTAACCATTGATGAAGGTGCTGAGAGTGTTGTGAGGTTAGCTATGGTTCCAAATGGCAGCCCTTCTGGCCTCTACTTCTATTTACAACAAGTCTCACCCTTTTGAGCATAACAAACCCTTTTCAATTTCATGAAATAATGATCATCTTCTTTTTAAATTGCCATATTTATCTTCGTGTGGTGTAACAACAATTTCTCAAACTCTTGTGTCTCTGTGCTTATATCCAGATATTGGACAAAACTTTGCCATTAATCTGTTCTAATCGACTGATTCCATCCAAAATTTAAAGCTTAGAAAACTTATGATAAGAGTGAAGAAAATTAAAGATCAATGAAATATATATTTATAAATCTGATAGTCCATACAAATATTACTTCCTGAAAATTTAAACATGTATGCATGCACATATTAGCATTTGCTAGTATCTGCATTGATTAATCAGTTATTTACATTGCAACTTGTTAGAATAGATAGTGTTATCAGACTAAGAAAATGAAGAAGAATAGGCAGAGAAGGAATCTGCAAAATTGCTCAGCTCAGCTCTCTAAGTCAGAGAGATGCTTTTTTGTATATTTCAGTATATTGAACACGCAACAAGCACTGTGCTCTTGACCATTAGGCCTTAGCTGTACACTCACACACAACATCTCAGCCTTACACTTGTCATCTTCTAGGACAAACTGATTACATCCAATTAAAACAGGGCTTACTTATTCTAACTACCAATTAGCTCAATGCTTATACATTAACACTCCCCTTTAAGCTTTGAGCTGATATAACTCCAAGCTTATCTCTGAGATAGTTGAATCTGTCCTTGGGCACAGCTTTGGTAAATATGTCTGCCACTTGATCTTTGGTTGGACAATATACCAGATCAATAACACCCTGCTGCAGAGCATCCTTGATGAAGTGATATCTCCTGTCAATGTGTTTTGTCCTTTGATGAAACACCGGATTCTTTGTGATTGAAATAGCAGAAGTGTTATCACAGTTTGCAGCTCACCAAAATCCTCCAAAACAAATTTGAGCCATATAGCTTGAGTTGTGGCTTCAGATGCACTTACATATTCAGCTTCAGCAGTTGAGAGTGCAACACAATTCTGCTTAACAGAAGCCCATGAAAAAACTCCACTGCCAAAAGAAAAAGCATAGCCGGATGTGCTTTTGCTATCTTCAAGTGAACCTCCCCAATCACTATCACAATACCCAATTAAAACAGCCCTCTTGCCCTTCTCATACATCAAACCATAGTCTAATGTCCCTTTAATGTATCTAAGCACCCTCTTAGCTGTTCCATAGTGCTTGTTTGTGGGATTGTGCATATATCTAGCTAGCAGGCTAGCAGCATACATCACATCTGGTCTGGTAGCAACTTTGTGATTGAAATAGCAGAAGTGTTATCACAGTTTAGGGTAGTTGCTTCTGTTTGCAGCTCACCAAAATCCTCCAAAACAAATCTGAGCCATATAGCTTGAGTTGTGGCTTCAGATGCACTTACATATTCAGCTTCAGCAGTTGAGAGTGCAACACAATTCTGCTTAACAGAAGCCCATGAAAAAACTCCACTGCCAAAAGAAAAAGCATAGCCGGATGTGCTTTTGCTATCTTCAATAGAACCTCCCCAATCACTGTCACAGTATCCAATCAGCACTGCCTTCTTGCCTTTCTCATACACCAAGCCATAGTCTATTGTTCCCTTTACATACCTTAGCACCCTCTTAGCTGTTCCATAGTGTTTATTAGAGGGACCATGCATATATCGAGCTAGCAAACTTGCAGCATACATCACATCAGGTCTGGTGGCAGTGAGGTATAATAAGCTTCCTACAAGCTTTCTATAGTTCTCTTCATCAGCAGCACCACTTCCATCATCCTTGATCAACTTGTCTGTAGCCACAAGTGGAATGGAAACCGATTTGCATTCTTTCAATCCAAACTTATCCAACAAGGAAGAGGCATACTTCCTTTGATGAATAAAGATGCTAGTTTCGGTTTGGATCACTCCCATTCCAAGAAAGTGGTGAAGTAGGCCCAAGTCTGTCATCTCATACTTCTCTTTCATATCTTTCTTGAATTCATCTAACATCTCTTGATTGTCTCCTGTGTATACTATATCATCCACATAGATGGATACGATTAGTATATTGTTTTCTCCCCTTTTCTTGGTATAGAGAGTAGCTTCACTCAAGCTTTTCTCAAACCCACATTCTGCAAAGTAGCTGTCTATTTCTCCATACCAGGCCCTAGGTGCCTGTTTTAACCCATAGAGAGCCTTGTGCAGCCTATAGACTCTGTCTTCTTTGCCTTGAACCACAAATCCCTCAGGTTGCTCAACATACACTTCTTCTTGCAGCCTTCCATTTAAGAATGCTGACTTGACATCTAGTTGGAATAGCTTCCAACCCTTTTGTGCAGCAAGAGCTATTAAGGTTCGGATTGTGTCCAATCTAGCAACCGGAGCAAAAGTCTCGTTATAATCGATTCCTGGTTTCTGCACATATCCCTTAGCAACCAATCGTGCTTTATTCTTTTGCACTGAACCATCCAGATTCAGTTTGGTTTTGAACACCCATTTCACTCCAATGACTTGCTTATCGCTTGGCTGATTCACAAGTTCCCAAGTCCCATTTTTTTCAATCATGGATAGCTCATCTTCCATAGCTTTTATCCATGCCCGGTCTTGGGCATCTTCTTCATATCTCTCGAGTTCCACAATGCAGAGATTGCATTGTGCTAGTATGTCACTGATATTTCTCCATTTGACTGGAGTATGATCATAAGGCTGAGAGATTTCTGCAGACTCATGAGTGATATTTTCTTGTTCTTCAGCTTGAGATGAAGTGCAGGGGCTGGCTGGACTTGGTTTTGCTGCAATCTGCCCCTGGGAGGACACTTCACTACCATTTTCCGATTGGTTTGGAACACAAGTCACAGCAACAGAATGTCCTGAAGCTTCCTTCCAATTCCAGGCTTTGTTTTCATCAAAAACCACAACCCTTGACAAAACCAGCTTCTTGGTGCTTGGATCAAACACCCTATATCCTTTCTCACATGTTGCATAACCAACAAACACTCCAATGACACTCTTTGCATCCAACTTCTGTCGCATTGCAGCTGGTATATGCACATAACAAACTGACCCGAACACCTTTAAGTGACCAAGACCAGGTTTTCTGCCACTATAGGCCTCAAATGGGGTTAGATTGTCAAGAGCTTTGGTAGGTGATCGATTTAGAATATACACAGCTGTTTGTACCGCCTCTGCCCATAGAAAATATGGCATGCCCTTGTCATGAAGCATAGTTTTAGCCATTTCTATCACGGTTCTGTTTTTCCTCTCTACTACTCCATTTTGCTGTGGAGTATAGGAAATAGTTAGCTGTCTTTGTATGCCTTTAGACTCCAAGAACTTGTTGAAATCGGTTGAGAGAAATTCCCCACCTCTATCACTCCTTAGACATTTCACTTTGAAATCACATTGTAATTCTACCATCGCTTGGAATTTTCTAAAACAGGATAGAGCCTCAAATTTCTGTCTTAGAAAATAAACCCATGTCATTCTTGTATGATCATCAATTAGCAGCATAAAGTACTTATTACCTGCAACCGATTCATTTTGCATAGGGCCACACAAATCAGTGTGTATTAGCTCCAATGGATGGCTTGCTCTCCAGGCTTTCTCTTTAGGAAATCGATCTCTATGTTGTTTTCCCAATTGGCATCATTCACACACACCATTAACCTCTTCAAGATGTGGAAGACCATGCACCATCTCTTTCTCTCTAAGCTGTCTAAGACTCCTAAGATTGAGATGACCGAGTCTCTTGTGCCAAATCCAAGTACATTCAGTCACACTAGCCCTTAATGCAAACTGATCAGATTTCATTAACGATAGGGGATAGCATCTATTAGGTTTCATCTTGACCTTGAGAACCAACTTATCAAGGGAGGAACTATCATAAATGCAGCACATACCCCCACCAAACAACAAATGATACCCATGTTCATCCATTTGACCAACACTCAGCAGATTTTCTTTTAATCCAGGTAAAAACATAACCTCCCTAATGTATTTCTTGCCAGCACTAGTGCCAATTTCTAAAGAGCCTATACCTCCAACATCCACCAGATTTCCAGTAGGCATTTGCACCTTTCCACACACATTTGTCCTTGTATCAACAAGCAAGTCAGCACTTCCAGTCATGTGGTTACTACACCCACTGTCAATATACCAGTTTCCATTCACTTTTGTATCAGAAATGGCACTATTTGCAAAAAACAAATTTCCAGACACTTCAGCTTGGTTGGCACAGTTTGCCTTCTGAATTCCCTTACCTGCTGTGCATTCTCTTGCCCAATGTCCAAACCTATCACAATTATAGCATTTGGATTGCCCCTTATATCTACACTCACCAAAGTGAAACTTGGAACATGTCTTACACTGTGGTTTTGTTCCTGTTTGAGTCTGTGCATTCTGTGCAGGATTCTGCCTTGTCTCCCACTTCTTTCCTTTCCCATTCCAGTTTTTTTGAGACTTTGGTTGTCCAGAAGAAGAACCGCCCTTGTTCTGACCTTTAGAGTTAACCGAGAATGAGGCAAATGCCTTCTCAACCGTATCAACATTATGTAACCCAAACCGTTGCTCTTGACTCTTTAAAATAGCAATAACCTCCTGCAAATCAACTGTTTCCAGACTCTTTGTATTCTCAATCACCAGACAAATAGGATCATACACCTTATTTAAACTGATTAGAACCTTCTGAACAAGCCTTTCATTGGACAGAGACTCACCATAAGTTTTCATTTGATTAATTAGCTCATTCAATCGAGTAAGATATGCAGACAAAGATTCATTTTCATGCATCCTAGTATACTCAAATTCACGTCTAAGGTTTTGAAGTTTTACCGATCGGACATGGTCACCACCATGATACTCTCCATGTAGCAAATTCCATGCCATCCTAGCTGAATCGGCAGTAGCAATTCGAGGGAAGATCTGGTCAGAAACAGAGTTCTGAATAATGCCCAGAGCTTTTGCATCCTTCATAAGAATTACAGCAATCTTCTCATCATCTTCCTCTGTAGATATTTCCTTCTCATCCGCCTTCTTCTTCGATTCTGGAATCAGAATTCCTTTCTCCACCAGAGTCCACAGCCCATATGACTTGAAGATGGTTATCATCTTGATTCTCCAGAACTACTCATAGTTCTCACCGGAGAAGATCGGAGTTCT